TTATACTGTAATCAGTGTAATGGTCTATTGATCATACTGTAATCAGTGTAATGGTCTATTGATCATACTGTAATCAGTGTAATGGTCTATTGATCATACTGTAATCAGTGCAATGGTCTATTGATGATACTGTAATCAGTATAACGGTCTATTGATCATACTATAAAAAAAATATTAAATTCTGCACCAGTGAAATTTGTACCAGGTTTTTTTTGACAGGGAGTTACAGTGACCTTCAAGATATTTAATCCTCAGACAATTTTCACTTCAAGAAAGCATTACAAAACATGAGTGATAGAAGTGTCTTCCTACCTGGTTTTCATGGCACGGTCCTTGGCAGTATTCAGTTAAACTTTCTAATGTTTGATTTATCAGTGATACATTGGTTTCATTGATGTAAAGTCCTAAAAGTCCCAATCCACCTGTTGTACTGCCACAGATACAGTCTAAGAACTGCAGTGTTTCACAAATTAAGTTAAAGTTGGTTTTATTGTTCTGTCTTAGTAGGTAAGTCTGAAAATAAAATTGAGATAAAGACCGTATTATTCAGAGATAAGAACATTTGAATGATTCAAATATAGGAAAATTTTCAACAAATTTCAACATTATGTTTTAAACTCAAATGCACATGATAGACTTAGAACAGCACAAAGAAATATATGTAAGAAGAATATATATATATCTAATGTATAAATTCATCTAGTACCAGTATATATAGTCTGTAGTAGTTCTCCTAAGATATAGAATTAAACAATCAGTTTACCTGTAAATCTCTGTTGTGGTTTTCACAAAGCAACTGTAAAAATCTTAATATTTGTTTCATTACTACAACTTCTGGACTCAATCCATTGTCATCTTCTTTGTTCTCAGCACCAGTAATGGCATCAAAACTAGCTCCATGGTTACCATGGTCACCAAGGTGCTCTGCATGTTCCCTGCCTCTTCGCACTGCATCATAAGCTTTACTGGTATGCATTGCAGCATCTGCTAGCTGATCTTTCAACTCATCACTGATACCTCCATTTGCTAGACGTGCTGTAAATACACATATGGTATAACAGTGTATATAGGCATACAACATGTATATGTATAACTAGATTGACATTCAATAATTGAAGACTAATTACATGCATGTACTTAAATACATTTTCTTAGCTAACATTTCCTGGTGAAAATCTGAGCTGAAATCAGAGTGATTGGAGAAAACCTTAGTGATTTCTGATTTGTTTTAGTCAGAATTTTTCACCAGGAAATTATTAAATTTGCACATTAAAATGACATAATTTCACATTTTGTTTTTGTAATAGACCAACAGCTGTTCAGATGTAAGCTGTTCCTGGTACATGCATTTAAGTAGTAACCCATAATCACGTATACCTTTAACTTAAACATTAACAGTGTCACCATCGCCCTTACATGTGTGTATTAAAAACATCATAGGAATTGCATAGAAACCAAAATCACATATTGGTGAATGTTGTAAATATGTTAAGAAAGAGATTCTTCTTGTGTACATTATCATTGAGCAAGTTGTGCTGATGATTATTAATTATACATTGGTAAAATTGTAAATCATGTTGCTGTTTCAGCTGAGATGACACACTGGTTGGTACATAATTCCCAAATGGCTATATATGATCAGACTCTTTGGAGATAATCAGGTTTCCAATTTCATGTCAAATTTAAACTACTGCAAAGTATTTGAAAGGCGAGAAACATTTTCAAACAGTAAACATTTCACTGGGAACCAACTATATGTTAATGCAGATATCAGGATAAGGGTACTAAGGTCACATCAGAATGAGGCTGCTGGTTCATAGGTATAAAATTAGATATCAGAATGAGGCTGCTGGTTCATAGGTACAAAATTAGACATCACAATGAGGCTGCTGGTCCATAGATACAAAATTAAACATCAGAATGAGGCTGCTGGTTCATAGGTACAAAATTAGATATCAGAATGAGGCCGCTGGGTTCATAGATACAAAATTAAATTCAGAATGAGGCTGCTGTTCCATAGGTACAAAATTAGATAGCAGAATGAGGCTGCTAGTCCATAGGTACAAAATAGATATCAGAATGAGGCTGCTGGTTCATATGTACAAAATTAGATATCAGAATGAGGGTGCTGGTCCATAGGTACAAAATAGATATCAGAATGAGGCTGCTGGTTCATAGGTACAAAATTAGATATCAGAATGAGGGTGCTGGTCTATAGGTACAAAATAAATATCAGAATGAGGCTGCTGGTTCATAGGTACAAAATAAATATCAGAATGAGGCTGCTGGTTCATAGGTACAAAATTAGATATCAGAATGAGCCTGCTGGTTCATAGGTACAAAATTAGATAGCAGAATAAGATTACTTGGTCCCAGGCAAACATGTCAATATCAGAAAGAGGCTGCTAGGACTTTTGCCTTACTGATTCATCTAGTGTTTAGATAAATATATTCAACAGAAACCTTTTTCATTTCATTTTAAAGCTTTGAGCTGTAAACAGCAATATGATTTACAGTTTGAGAGATAGCAAAGAATGATGATGATGATGTTAAAGATGACAATGACTACCTCCGGAATCATCCAATGGGTTAGGATCATCTAGAGTAATCAACAAAAATAAATAGTTTTGATGAAATTAACATACAAAAAAAAATCACATAAATATGATAATTGGGAATATGTCAAAAAAAGGGAGGATATGACATGAGAAAATGAACTGACATGAGAAAAAGACATGACATCAGAAGAGGAAATGACATCAGAAGAGGAAATGACATCAGAGAAGGAAATGACATCAGGAGAGGAAATGACATCAGAAGAAGAAAAGACATCAAAGGAGAAAATGTATGTATAATACTAAAAACCTACACTTGTCAGCTTGGCTAGTTTACAATCAAAATCATTTAACCTCCAACAAGGCTATGTTAAGCATTAATATATTTTAATTGATACCAATGCCGCAGACCTGCTGCTTAGTGATGACAGGCAATCACAAGTCTTTGTGGCGTTATAACTTTGTTATATAAATATGACCATAACAAAGCAGAGAGCCTGAACAGTAAAACTCAAACCAGCTGTAAATGCTTTCCTGTCTTTGCATATAATTAAAGGAAAAGTCAAGGCTAACAACATAATAATATATGTTGTGTAGCTTGACTTCCTCTTTAAGTTTGATCAATTTGGGTCACTAAGTGAACACTGCCCTCAGTGGTGGACATCACAATTTACCTCTTTTAAGTCGTGTTTCTTTCTCTTTGTCTTCAGTTGGTTTTGTCTGTGTCTCTCCAGTGTTTACAGTCACCGTGGCTTTAATCTCAGTTTGGGCATCTTTCAATCTGTCATAGAACACTTTGAAGAACTTCTCAGATTTCTTGTCATTGGTTAGCCTGGTATACATTGATTTCTGTAAAAAGGATCGACAAAGTAAAAATGGTGAGGGATAGACAATTTTGTTCATACAGTTTTCATGAGAAATGGTTCTACAAATCTTGCATTGAGTTAATAGGTGCAAGTGTATCTGAAATTTGACATATCAGATAATACTATGCATCATGTTGAAGAGACTGCAAATTATTCAAAAAATTACATAAAATTCTGCTTACAGTGGTCACTCACTGACACTGGGGGCACAGTCCAAGGACAGTTCATGGTGTTCACTCACTGGCACTGAAGTGCTGTCCAGGGGCAGTATATTACGAGGTAATAACAAGAATACTGGAAAGTATGCACAAAGGAAGTATGACAATCAACCAACATGTAGAAGAGGTCATAGCAACCCTGTACTGCCTTCATGCTTTCTTTCTGGTGTTCTCATGATAACCATATTATTATACATCTTATTGCTCCTTGTAGCAATAATTTAATGAGAGATTATACCTTAAAATGACAATGAAAAATGTTTTGCGCTGTGCGAACCTTTGTGTTGTTTTGCACGCTATAACAATTCTACGTTCAATGTAAAAAAAAAAAATATTTGAATGTGATGTCAACAACTTGGACACATCAATGTTATGATGTAGTTTACCCCATATAGAAAATTTTATAATGCATCCTTTTACGAAATGACAAATTCCATTGTTTTTGGTGCTAGATGTATAACAAGGTGCTTTATACACTTGTGCAGATTAGAAAAATATTATATATACCTGAATGACACTATTACCAGTGTCTAACAGAGCTATGCCAAGCTCTACACTTTCCAGAAATACACGATGACTTGTATTCTTCATTATTAAATCAATCACTAAGTCTGAAGCTCCTTGTTGATCAAGTTGACACTGAACTTCAGCCAGGGTCATTTCAGCCCTACTTAACAGAACAGATCCTGGCCCATGTGAACTGACTGGAACCTGTTTGTGCTGCGTTCCAGTACCAATGCTATCCCTTCGATACCGGGGATGTGACTTGCCGTAATATCGAAACAGAAGACTCTGCCTAAGCACATCACCCTAGAGGAAACAATGATGTATAAAAACTATGATAATTTGAAATTAACAGTATTTGACCTTTGACCCATTTGAAAACATCAACCACCACACAATTCTATTTGAAAATGAGCTCTAAAATTTTGTTTATCCTTCTTTTGGCCTAAATATTTACCGATACTGTCCAAAAACAGTATTCTTAAATTTTCTGTCCTTACTTTGTTTTGGCCAAATTAAAAGAAAAACTGTCAAAAGAATGATGACGACAATGTTAATAGCTACTAGTACTGATCAATAGAAATATCAAAATTACAAATAATGAGAGCTGATAGCATTCAACTGTTTGAGTGGCGTTTGATATCAAATGTTTACAACCTAAAAGTATATAAAGAATATTACTGTTACTATATAGATGACAGCATTGTACAATGACATTACAATGAAATACAGTCAATAAATTCAACATGCATGATTCAATAATACAACATATACAGAAACACAATAAATAAATAAAACACTGTTGTTGTTAAAGGCTCAGTTTTCATTTCAAACCATAGGCTTAACACTTGCAACGCCAAAGGCAACTTTCATTTCCTGTCACAAATTAAATCGGCATATATTTTCCCAAACTACAGGGTTTTCAGCGCATGATGTGTCAATAAATAAATAAATCTAAAAATGTTTTCTCTTGAATAAACAAAATTTGTCATTAATAGTGTTAACAAATCAGTAACATATTCAGGCAGATTCCAGAATGAGTTGAAATTAAGGTTACCATATATCACTATACTGATGACTATCAGGTACTTATTTATTTATCAGCAAAATGTTATTCATTTTTATCGGTAGCGGTGAGAGAGCGTCAAAATGCTGATTTCAATGACAGTGTCAAAATGCTAATTTCAAAGACAGTGTCAACATGCTGATTTCAAATAGTCATTTTAATATAAAAACATATTAATACCAAGTTTTATACAATACATTCCATCATGCATGCATGCCCATTTTACATAACCAGAAAAAAAGAATTGCTTGTATCAACAATGGTGGCTGTATATTAAGATGCAAAAATAAAATATCAACCACATTTCAAAAACATAACAGTCTCTTATGTAAATTGATGTCAAAGATGAAAGTGTTGATCTAAAATGTAGTGAATAGAGTGCCTGATATAAAACATAGATTACATTTAGCAGTTATGGTGGGTTGAAATCAAATTCCAACCCCCTTACCCTCTTGGAATCTTCTTGTTGTTTCTTGGTCAAATTCTGAATCTCAGTTATCTTATAATGGTGTCCACGTTAACATGAGAGAGTGTGAGAGTAAAGTAAAGTAGATGGAAGTTAGTTAGTAAAAGGACAGCGTATGATAACAATTACCGCTGCAATGCAGTGAGATGCAGGTGAGAATAGGACAGATGCAGTTCTGGGGTGCTGCTCAGTTTTACAGACTTGAGATGCTTTCAACAGATGAGCTAGGTTGAGATGGATGTTATTACAAGACACATGATGCAAACTACATGAACATATCAAATCATTATCAATTGCATTACATACTGTTATTACAAAGAAAATTATCATTATACATGGAGCTTATACATTAATTCTTCAAGACAACCTTAAAAAAAAACAATTATTAAAATTAAGTTCCTGGATAAAGTTATTATTAACAAGAAAACAGGCTTGACAGATAGCAATTTGCACATTACAACAATATTACACACCATGCATGAGATTTTAATGGAAATGAACAAGTAAAAGGGATGCATACATTATTCGCACCAACCTTTTCACCATAATCAATATCAACAGTCATCATTTCTTTTAATGTTTGTAAAACCTTAATACAAAGTTTCTCTTCTTTTTCTTCCAGTAGTCGTTCAGTGTGTTTAATTAATCTAGAGACACAAGCATATTTTAAGTTATTCATTGTTTCACGATATGTTCACTTATAATAACTAAGAAAAGAGTAACAGCAGTCATCATACAACTGATACATATACCATATGAATGAAATGTTGACTGTATACTCTCAATAAAAGCAATTACATTGTTTAAGATTATCCATAACTTATTAAATAAAAAAAATAAAAAAAAATTAGTCTCACATGGTGAAACCATACTCATTATGTGCGATAGATCTTAGAAACAAATGGCCATCTAGATATTGTTGACAGAGAGAGAATCACAAATAGTGTTCCATTTTCTTATGTCACCGTAGACGAGGAACGGATGAAACATTATAAAAAAGTATGTCGCACTCTCAATGAAAACTCAGCGGCAATTTGGGTCTAAAATCTATTGGCAATAAATAGCCATGTACACGAACACAACTTAGAGTGCTATAGTATGGACATTGTGCAGTGTTTAATTTGGGTCCCATGCGACACATGAAATACATTATTTATTAAATTAGAAAATTCAACAAATGTAATCCTTGAAACAGAATATGGATGAAATATTTTCTGCATTTTTAAACTTACCAAGTATAGAATCATACTTTTATGATTGAACAGTGCAAATATGAATACCGGTACATACGATGTATAAACCAGAACCACTTACTTGGAGATGAATCCACCGCTTTCACATTTATTTCTAGCTTCTGTACCAGGGGGAAACAGCAACTCTGGTCTGTGCAAGACATCCACCAACACTGACAGCTCAGCTTGCACTAAAGGTTTTAATTGATCTTCCAACAGTGATACAATGTCCTAGTATAATATACATAGTATAAGGTCAACAGTTTCAGAGAGTAGTCAGATATCAATAGGTTGCTGCTACAGTTGTTTATGAGTAGCAATGAGGACCATTTTAATATTCATTTTTGCACTAAAAGCACAAGACTTGTTTTGCTATACTCCAATATATATCATGTGCAAATAAAAAACTTTAATTTTCTTGGTTCAACATCTCATGTTCCATGCTCCTCATCACTTAGTAATGTAAAGGGAAGTAAAAGATTAAATTTAGATTGTGTCGTCAAAATACTGAAATTTTACATTTATTGGTAACAATCAAGATAGGATCCAACCATTGAATATTAAAGAAATGTTTGTAAATCCAAGGCTGAACATGTTCCTGAGAACTCATTTTCAAAAAGGTCACTGTGACTTTTAACAATTGGAAATGCCAAATACAACTTTTTTTTTCATATTTTTCAACAATTCTGTAGGTAGGTAAATGTCAAACTGATTCAAAATTATCAAAAATTACAGAAATATGTATAACAAGTAATTTTCAATGAAATAGTTCCTGTTTGTATTATAGGCATTAAGTATCGCATGATGTATAAGATGATATGGCTCCGTGGAAATGCAATCGTTTTAAAAATATGGCCACCAGTCAGCCACTTTGGATTTGATGGTGACAAAAATGCATGTGTCTACGAATCCAAATAAGTAAAATGCATCATGGTCCCATTGCAATGTATGTACCAAATTAAAAAAAATGTCCATAAACAAACTAAAATCCAGTTCTAGAATGGTGAACATGTGTAAATTTTGATACATTTTTTTGGCTTTAAAATGGCTGCCATTCAGCAATCTTGAATAGGATCATGAAAGAAATGCATGTGCATGTCTGATGTCATGTAAGATATGCCTGGATATGAACAGATGGACACACACATAGGTCAATCCCTAAGTCCACAGTTTTTGAACTGCATCTGATGAACAGGGACTAAAAATATGCAAAATGATGAACCAATGATTTTACGTGCATATTAAGTAAATCCAAGAATGTTTATATTCAACAAAACTTGGTTGATGCCAGGACAGATTAAATATCTGGGGATAAGACAGTTGAATCACATACTGAATATATTACTTTAGTGTTTATAGATTGGCATGCATTATCCACTGAATACACGTGTGATTGACACACCATCAAGTATCTTCTTACTTACAGGTAAACTGTCATTATTACAAAGATGACACCTCTGCCAGGCCTGTGTATGTATATGTTTACAATAATTAAATGTTGGACTCAAGGTTAGCATTCAATAATTGGAGAAGAGGTCAATTTGTAAAGAATATATCAATCAATCAGAAATAATCCTTGTTGGTTAAAACACAAAATGCATTTTTAATGAAAGTAATAAATCATTAAATGGTATTTGTTTATATTTTGCAAGAAGGAACAGTAAACAATAACACTATCAATATCCCTAGACTAGGCTTTGATTTTATCACGACCTCCTCCATATCTATGCACCATAGACCCAAGGCTTTATAGTAGATATAGTTATCTGGGAAAGATAATGTTTATTTTGTGTTTAAAGTTAACTGGACTGAAATAATTCAAAGACAAGCAACCTGTCGGCTAAGATAGCTCCGCTGTTAGCAATGCACATTGCAATTAAAGAACAGAAGATATCATTAGAAAATGAACAATATGTATAGTATCAAAGCAACAGGACTC